CAATTTGGTACAATAAACTAAATGAAAAGGAAATGACCAAGACCTCAGTTAGAATATTTAATTAAGACCAGTTGAATTATTTATGTTAAGGGAGTCAGCTCCCTTAGTTTAGTTATAAAATGTTAAAAGCTCTGTTACAACTCTTCAAAATCTCAGCTTCTTCATCTCCTGCCTTCATGCCCCATCCTCAGAGATTAGCCAATTAAGAACCAGCCAATATACACAAACACAGAGACCCCTTGATAATGCAATATCCATGGTTACTTAATCATCATTAAAATGATTTTAAAGAAAGTTAACATGCTAATAGCATCAATGGTAACAAGCCCCATTTATTTTTCACATTATGTGAATAATTAGTGGGTAGAGCCCTCTGTCTGAATGGGGCTTTATTGTCTCCGTGGGTGAATATCCTGCAAATTCAATCCCCAGCTTTGTCACACCTTTCTGCAGAGTACTGGGGAGTGGGGGGCGGGCGGGCAGGCGGGTGCTGAGTACCAACTGCAAATGAGGGTGGAGATACAAGGAGGAGGGAAGAGAATTTGGAGGGGATCAGAGAAAAGCAAAACAGAAATCAATAGGCTTTGATTGGAATCTATGAATTTGAGTATCTTTTATACCCAGGAAATGTTTCCAGTGGAAAAGAAAGAAATCTAATAGATCAGTGTCTGGGAGGAGGTTGCATTCAAAGGCATCAGGAAAGTCTTGGGTTGGCCAACACACCACCAGTTTGGAAATAAAGGGTTTAGCAGCTGTGGAGATGCACAGCTATCATGAGCTGGGGAGAGGAGTTCCAGTAAGGAAGCATCTGGGGGTGTTCCAGGTCCAGCTTAGGTTTCCACGATGCCCACCAGGAAGAGGGGGCCCCAGACAGAGCCGACTGCATGCACACCAGCACCCTCACAGGGCCCCAGGAGCAAGCTGCTTTGATGAGCGCAGCAGTGAGGATGTGGGAATAAGCCAAAGAGCTTCCTTCCCTTTGCCCTCCCGTGGGCTGGAAAGTGGCTCAATGGACAATCGCCAACTCCGAAACCACAAGTCTAGAAGTCCAAAGCCAAAGCCAAGAGAGAGAATGTGGGTTCCAATAAGAAACGTAAGGCAAATGCTCCCATGAGCTGGGGCGAGTCAGTGAAGCCAGGAAACTCCAAGCCACAAACACATCGAACCCACCGGCCCACCATCTGCCTGAACAGCTGGACCGGCGGAGCCAGCCACACTGAGGCAGGGGCTACCAAACCTAAGTCCCTTCTCAGTACCTCACGGAAAACTTTAAGGGAGCTAAAGAGAACGGATGTGAGGCACCTGGGTAGCTATTTTCCAGAAACTCTGTAACAACAGGCCAACGTTCAACACAGTAGACAGCTAATGTCTGACATGTAGTAATAACCACACCACTGAAATACACATTTAGTTCTCCAAACATTATTACTGAGATAATCCCAAGGATATGGTGAAGTTACTAAAAGCTATCACACAACTGAGAGTTTTCTGGAAATTCATTTATTGGGTAATCTGTAGGTACAGCATGTAAATTCTGTGGCAACAATAACTTAGTGACCTAGAAGGATCTCCGGTAAGGAGGGAGGTCCTGCAGAACACAGACACCAGGGAGAGGAAGTTGCAAATTCCCTTCAGTCCAACTACTGATATGGTAAAGTGCTAACCAGGAACACTCCTCTTATATCCAAATGTACACACGCGTACAGATACACAAGTATCCTTGCCAAGAGATTTCAGGAGCAACATTATACTTGAGAATCTTCCAAATGATCTCTCAAACACCAAAATCTGAAAACACAGCCAGCTTCTCTGTAGAGACAATTGGTATTTTCTATTCCATATGCCTAAGTTTAAATTAATGTCATGATTATAACTTGTATGATGGGAAGAACTAACATTTGTTGAGCATTCCCAGTGCTCTAGGCACTACAAAATGTTCTTTATATATAATAATGAATCCTAACAAGAACCTCTGAAATAAAGCAATTGTTATAATCCCTACTATATCAACAGGCAATCAAAAGTCATAGATTCAAAGTGCATCACCCAGGCTCACCCAGCTAGCAGAGACAGAACAGGACTTGAACCCTCTGGTCCTCTTAGGTCCAGCCCAGTGTTCTTGCTGTATATTTTTTCAAATTTTTTTTCCATAAAATTTTTCTTGGTAAACATTTTGGCCTCCATTGGACCTTAGAGCATATCTATATCTATATTTTACTTTCTATTTTGAATAGCTGAAGATTCAGAGGAAGAAATGGACAGGGGGGTCCCATGTACCCTTCACCCCGTCTCCCCCAACGGTGACATCTTGTGTAACTAAATATACACTACAATATCACAGCCAGGAAACCAGCATTGTCACAGTCCACTGAGTTCATTCAGACTTCACCAGTTACACATGCACTCAGCCCGGTGTGTTTGTGGCTCTAGGACATTTTACCACATGGGTAACTTTGTGTATCCACCACCACAGTCAATATTTTTAACTGCGTCACACAAGGTCCCCTCCTCGTGATACCCTTTATTGCCCCACTTGCTCTGTCCCCCTCATCCCTAACCCTCGACAACCACAGACCGGCTTTCCATTTCTGTAATCATGTTATTCCAATCATTTGGGGCTACTATAAATAGAGCTGCTGTGAACATTTGTGTGCAAATGTCTGTGTGAAAATAAGTTTTCATTTCTCTGGCATAAATGCCCAAGAGTGTAATTGCTAGGTTGTATGGAAAGTCCATTTTTTGTTTCAAGAGGAGCTGCCAAATTACTTTTCAGAGAAGCTGTACTAGCTGACATTCCCACCAGGAGTGTATGAGAGCTCCAGTTTCCCTGCATTCTTTGTCCAGGGTTTGGTGTGATCACAACTTTTTATTTTATCCATTTTAATAGATCTATAGCAATCTCTCATCGTGGTTTGAATTGCATTCCTGGCTGGCTAACGAAGCTGAATATCTTTTCACGCTCATGTCGACTTTGTAGATATCCTCTCTGATGAAATGTCAGTTCTTGTTTTTGTCCGTTTTATAATAGGGTCATTTGTGAATTTTGAGGGTTCCCAAATTCTAAATGCAAGCCCTTTATTGAACATGTGATTGGCCCATAAACATTCTCTAATATTTTGAGTTGGAGAGGGCCTAAAACATAAAATCCAATGCAGGCTGCATTCAGTGGATTAAAGGGATTTTCAAGAACTCCAACAGTTACCCTGTGCTTTATTAAAGCAGCAGCAGGAAGCCAGGACCCCGCTTTCACAGAAAAGAAGCTAGAGACGGATGCAAGACCAGGAGTATTGTAGGGTAGAAGTGTGAGCCGTGGACAGGACACACAAGAAGGGTCTGCCAGGGGAGGTCCCCTGCAGAGGCTCCTGACAGTCCTTTTAGGGCCCATCCCTCATCGCCGCAGCTCAGGCGCCACCTTGTGGGCTCTGCAATCTCAGCAGGGCCCTGGGAAGCGCAGGTTCCTGTTTGGACAACTTACATATTCTCACCCCAGCGTCTCTAGAGGAATTAGCGACACATGGTATTTACTCCCACTTGCTGTGACATTCTTCACAGATGGCCACTTCCAGGAGGAAACCCGGTCTAAGTGGCACTCACTGCCTTATCCTTTGGGGCTGGCAAAACACCAGAAGGATGAAGGCTGGTTGACACACCCCCAACGCATGTGAGTCTCAGGCTAACACTTCACCAACAAGCCTTCGAGGTCTCCTCGCGGGCTGCCCAGCTCACCCGACACAGGTGGGTGTTACCTGCCTCGAGAAGGTGCCGCAGCAGCCTTTCTTGGACTCTGCTTACCAGGATGGACCGAGAGGGCATTTCCCTGGTGTGTGCTACCCTAGCATGAGCCAGGGAAGGCAGATCTCAGCCCTGTCCCGTGTTAGACAGTCGAGAACATCAGAACCCAGAGAGGACTAAGGAAAGGGGGGCTGCATTTTTTTATTCTGAATAAAAAATAAAGACTTTATGGGACACATGTTTAAGCCACTTGAAATAAGGACCGTTATCACATTCAGGTCATCGAGCCCTGGATTCTTTCTTACTTTGCAGCCCAAGAACATAAGCAACATAAATGTGGTGGGAAGTGGGCATGGGGTGGAGGGGAGAGCATGCGCCCATCCCCACAAGGCCCCCTGCCTGAGACCTCTCAGATCACAAGTCACAAAACACCAAGACTGACGAGAACAAGATACTGTATGCCAACTACACTGTAGTAATAAAAACTGTAAAAACACAGAAATCTCCCTCTGTTCAAAGGCTGGATGATGTTATTGTATCATCATCCAAAGGAGACAACTATCGCATGATTCCACTTCATGAGGTACCCAAGATCATCGAACGCACGGAAACAAGACGAGACGGTGGTTGCCAGGGCTGCGGGAGGGGAGCATGAAGCTGTTGCTGCTGAGTGCGGAGTGGCAAGAAGGAGCTCCAGAGCTCAGCTGCACCTGCGCCTGCCCGTCACAATGCTGCCCTGTGCACATGACCTCTGTGAAGAGGGGCTCTCATGTTAATCGTTCTGACCACAATTAAAAAAGTAAAATAAAAAAAATAAAACAAGCAAACTAAACTATTGAAGCAGTTGGAAGTATTCTTTTTTTTTTAGAGACTTTATTTGAGAAAGCGTGGAGGGGGAGGGGGGAGGGGCGGAGGGAGAAGCAGACTCCCCACGGAGCAGTGAGCCCAATGCAGGGCTCCATCCAGAACCCTGAGATCATGACCTGAGCCAAAGGCAGACACTTAACCCCATGAGTCACCTAGGCGCCCTTCATTTGGAAGCTTTCTTAAAGTACAGCTAATTCATTGAGATGTCACACATCACCTAGAGTTGAATCACCAGAGTTCATCTATCTGATATGAAAAAATGAATTACATTTTCAATCTTGCAATGGGGAGGAAGCACTGAGAAACTCACTACCATGTTGCATGGGTGGAAAAAAGTCCAGAGACCTGCCAGAAGACACACTAGTTAGTGCTGAACCAGGATTAGAATCTAAGTTACTTACCTGGTTCCTCACGACATCGGCATCCTAAATACCGGGCATGTCCCAATGCCTTGTTTCCATGAGCTCTTCATGCCAGAGGTCAAGGGTTTTTAATGGGCAATGAAACCAGCATTGTCCCTTCCCCAGCCTTGGCAAGTTAAAAGCTGAAATCATAAAAGGAGAAACCTCAGCAGATAAGAAAGTGCTCACATGTTTTTATGTAAGGACTTCAAAAACCCAACCTGGCTACTGACTCCCCTGCTCCCCCAGGGCCAGAAAGAGAAGCCATGAGAGGCATTCCCCCTGTTTGGTCTTCCCTTCCCTGAGGCCATGGAGGAAAGCTACCTGTGAATGTGGCACGTCTGCCTACTTCCCACCACTGCTGGAGGCTGAAACAGCTGAGGGCTCTGAATGGCTGAGAGAGGGATCCCCGGGAAGAAGGAAAGAATGGCGTGCCCGGAGGGTGGAGGTGCGAGATCAGGGGCTTAGAGAGGAGGGCAGCTTCACCAGGGGGCCTGGTGCCACTAGCGGACCAGCCGAGAGCCCCGGTTCCCAGGCCTGGGGTGGGGGAGAACAGTCGGGAAGGGAAAAGCACTGCAGAGTGACAGCTGAAATCCAGCCCGGCCCGCTTGCCGACAGCTGCGCCTGGGGGAACAGGTTTTAGTTTAGGGAGGAAATCAGATCTCCACCTTCGGGCGACTTGCCTACGGCCCAGGAAGTAATACTTGACAGTTTCATTTTAGATTTTTGCAAACTCTGCCAAACTGGCAGGTATGGATTTCATTTCTTCGGGACTGCCCTTTTTAACTCCTTCGAGGCAGGATGCTGAGTCCCGGGAGGCCCTGCACCGCAGCAGACCGAGCGGAGCACAGAGCGAGGGCCGAGCGCGCACGCCGCCCCACCGCCGGCCCGAGGCGCCCGCGCTCCGCCCGCGCACGTGCATCTCCCGGCGCCAAGAGGGCTTGAGGCCGCGGGTCCTCACGACGTCTGGAACAACCAGACTCTACTCAGCACTGGGGACGCCCGCGTTAATGAAGGCACCAGCCGCCGAACCGGTATTCACCAAACCTCAGCAGTGTGACGCAATAACACTTCCTGAGGTTACGGCCAAAACGAATGTTTTGATGAGTGATGCCGTAGGAACAAGCCTCCTTCCATCCTCCGTCACTTCCGCCTTCCACCCGCGGATTCCCAGCTCACCGGGTAAGGTAGAGTCTGGAGGGCTCGGGAGACGTTGGCCCGCAGGCCCCAGGCCCCAGGCCCCAGGTCCCAGGCCCCAGGTCCCAGGCCCCAGGTCCCAGGCCCGGAAGTGGCGCCTACAAATCCCACTCGCATTTTATTGGCTACAACTTGATCACGTGACTGGACCTCACTGCAGGGGGTGCTGGGAGTTGTAGTCAAATTGCCCAGGAAGAAGGGCAAGTACAGGGGGGTGTCAGCATTGACATGATTTTCCCTAATAACAACTTTTTCTGAGACCACTAAGTACTTCCATGAAGCTCTTCTGAGGCCTGCCTGCGGTGCTCTATGAAATGCTTAATTTTATTTTTTTAATTTCTTTTAAATTAATTCTAGTTAACATACAGCGTTATGTTAGTTTCAGATGTATAATATAGTGATTCAATGATTTCATATATTATCCGGTGCTCATCATGACAAGTGCACTTGGGGGGGGGAGGGAAGGGAGCGAGGGTTTGGGTTAAAGAGGCAATGGGGATTAGGGAAATGCTTAATTTTAGCGATTGGAGATATCCACCAGTAAACACACCGTTTTAATTATATAGTGCTTTAGAAGTTTTGAAATGATTTCTCAAACATTCTTTCATTAGATCTTCTTGTCACTTCTAGCAGTGTCTACAAACTTCGTTCAGACAAGAATTATTGACTGCCCATTTTCCCAGGCTCTGGTCTGGGCAGGAGGGATGCTTACCAGACCGAAGATGCCCTACCTGCATCATGCCGGCATCCTTGAAGGACAGCAGCTTGTATTCACAAGTAAAACGCAAATCAATGTGCAAGATATTTTCAGATGCTGCTACGACCCCCAAAGAACAAAAACAGGGCAGGGAGTTGGAGAGGAGGCTGCACGGGGACAGGTGTTTAAAATGTACCTGGGAGGGCGCCTGGGTTGCTCAGTTGGTTAAGCGACTGCCTTCAGCTCAGGTCATGATCCCGGAGTCCTGGGATCGAGTCCCACATCGGGCTCCCGGCTGGGCAGAGAGCCTGCTTCTCCCTCTGACCCTATCCCCTCTCATGCTGTTTCTCTCTCTCTCTCTCAAGTAAATAAATAAATAAAATCTTTAAAAAAATAAAAAATAAATAAATAAATAAAATAAGATGTACCTGGGATTTGTGTTAATTGGGTGTGGTAAGATGACAGACGGGCTGTTTATTATTCACAGCTCCCAAGAGAAGAGGGCCTGCTGTGCCCACCAAGGCTCCATGGGGAAGCACCAGGGCGGAGACAGGAGCAGTCAGGGGAGAGCATGGCAGGAGGCTTTATCGTGGGTTTCACAGGAAGGAATGGGTAAGGCAGGGTAGACACGCTGAACAAGTGTAGGACTGGGTGGTATGACTAATTCTGGGCTATAGGGGTCCCCAGTCATCCAGCACCTAGCCCTGGGGGTGTAGGACAGCGGGAATGTGGGCTTGCAACGTGACAGATAAGGAAGTGGTTAGGGGTGTGGGCCCGGTTTGTGCTCACAAGCAAGTTGTTTACTTTCTCTAGGAATTAGCTAACCCTGGGAGGGGTAGTCTCTCCAGGATTAGCAAGGCCCCAAGATATCAAAGCGTCATGAAGTACAGAAATAAGAAACATGATTCATATAATGGGACACTAGGTACCTTCACTTGGAGTGGAGGCTCAGCGAAGTCCTCCCTGTTGATACTGCAGAGGAAATTAGAATCCCAAAGAGGTGCCCGCCAACCACACAAAGATGGGGAGGGGGCACACCAGGCAGAGGCAGGAACAAGGTCAGCCCCATCTCAGTGTGCCTGGAGCAGTGAGTGTGGACAGGGGCAGCAGGGGATGGAGACATACAGGCAGGGCTCTGGAGGCCATGGCCACTGGATTTTATTCTGACTGCAAGAGGAAGGCATTAGAGGGTTGTACAGGGAGCAGTGTGGTCTGATTTGCATTTTTAAAAGGTCACTCTTACGGCGGGAGGAGACTAGATTGAATGTGGGCACTCCTGGGAAGCAGCAAGACTGGGTAGGAGGCAGTGTGCTACAGCATCACTTGGGAAGTGAGACAAAGAGCCATCCCCTGCTTTGTTATCTAATGCTGACACCTCGTCCTACCTACACTTTATGTGACTTAGCTCCAACATGGCCTTCAGCAAAGACATTATTCATTTATCACCTTTCCACATAAATCTAAACATTTCCAGTTCTCAAAGTGATCCTCACTTTTCTTGCCCATCTGCTATTGCTGACAGAAAGGACCCCAGGAAATCCAGTCATTTAGCTAAAAACTACCTATGCATTGTCCAGTATATGTGCCCAAGTTTGGTAAATATGACAAATGTAAGTAAAGTATAGTTTAACCTTGGCCAGACCAGACTAGGAGATCATCGAGTCGCCATCCGGTGCTCTGTGCTCAGCTTGTGAACACGGTAGTAATCCTCCATAATTCACTCTAGGGTAGTCGGTAGGTGCCCTCCAAAGCACAAGGAAGGACAGTCTACAGGACTGCTTGTCATGTGCCTGGGAGAACTGAGGGTCAGTTTGTTGGTTGGTCAGGAGAAGCAAGTTTCCTGCCCACAAAATCCACTGCCATTGTGGTGGGCAGCGGGGCTGGAGATCCAAGGGGCAGAGGGAGAGCATCCTGGTCTGACCTTGCCGTCTGTGGACTACCCACATCAGTGCCCATGCTCTGGCCCAGCCCTGCATGCTCAGCACCCAGGCAGACGCCCGTCTCCCCGGCCAGTGCCTCTCGGAAGCCCGGGCTCTCGGACCAGCAGTTTGCAGCACTTAACCTCCTCTGCTGTCTGACCCCTCGGGGCCTGGGAAATGTCTGTGGGTTCAGAATAAAACCCGTGAACCGTCCCCAGACAGACCCAGCCCCCACCCCAAATCAATGACGTGGGCTTCATTGGAAAAGACCAGGGGGGGGGGGGGGGGTGCCCCTTAACAGCTGGAGTCAACAAATGGGTTTCGAACCACAGTGACCCCAGGTCAGGACACCGGTTGAGGGGACTGCTTCTGTCACAGAAGACAGGCAGCACTAACGGGACACGCCCCCCCCATGATGGCATCTTATGACTACAGGCTTTGTGCTCTTCAGGCTTGTCCTGCCGATTCTCCCCCAAAGGCCTTGAGAGGAAGCCTACAGCCAGTAGTCATGGTCCCTAAAAGCTACACAGAAACCCTCTTTAATAAATCTGCTGCTGGCACTGGGGGTGTCCTGTGCTTAAAAGACACAGAGGAGGAGGAGAGTAGAGCCACCATGCCTCCCGCTTGGTGGCGGGCTGTGTACTTGAATGCACTGCACTCGCTCTTGACCTGCTTCAAATCAAGCCCAGCAACCGCCCCACAGGTGCTGATTCGGACTCAGGGGAAGCAGATAGAAACTCTCAGAGAGGTAGCCCCGGGAGGGCCAGCAACGCAAAGGAGCTTGGCAAGAATTTGTTGCAGAGCTAGTCATTCTCTGCCTCCCTATTTCCTGGAGGTTTCACAGAGCCATTTGATCAAACTTTTGCCCAGCTTCTGCTCTGCATTTGCACATTTCTCACAAACCAGCAAAAATTACTATTCACTGAGAAGCCATTACATGTTAGGCATCATTTCTGGTCTTTCTACATTCTTTGATCCCTCGAACAACCCCGTGATGTGGGTACTCTTTCTATTTCCCGTGGAAACACACACACCGACATTTAAGTAAGTTATTGAGGGCCCACAGCTGGTGTGGTGGGACAAGACTCCACCTCAGATCCGTCTCTAAACCTCATATTCTATCCATTGTGTGACATTCCCCTAACTACCCACCCCACCCCACTGCTGACCTTGGTCCTGAATTTGGCTCAGAGCCTGGATTCACCAACCCCTTCCAGGGTCCTCTCCCCTAGGTCTACAGCACACTTTTGCTTTTGGCCTAATTAAGAGAGAAATGTTGGACACGTTGATGGTTAAACCTGATGTTCTTTTATGGAAGATGGGATGTCTTGCATGTGGCAGTGACATTCCACAACTGGGAGCCCGCAGAATCACAGAAAAACAGTGGTCACACAAGCAATGAATGCCTTCGGACAGATTCCCAGGCTCCCTGGGATGTGATATGGTCCAAGAGTGCAGTCTTCCCTACAGCCCACAAACCTCGTGGGCAAGGATGTGCCTGGATAGCATCCGTGAGGACAGAGCCAAAATTTCAATGCTTGGAAGCAGATGTTTTATTTTCAGGAAATTTGTATACTATTAGCAGTTCCAGATTCCAACAGGTAAAACCAGTGGATCAACTTACAACACCTCTGTTCCTTTACACCTGTAGGAAGCCAATATGTACTATACTTGAGTGGCCGTTTCCCTGCTTTCTCAATTATTGAGAAAATCTGCACTTAAAAACTGGCTAGTATGTGCGTCAAGAAAATGCAGGAATTTGAACCCTGCTGACACCTGTCTTATCAGAGTGACTATTTCATTTAAACATTTTGCTTTCCCGTGTGTGGAGTCAGAGTATGTTCCTAGAGATCCTCTAACCCAAATCCCTCATTTCTAGAGATGAGGGAATACAATTACAGACAATCCATGAAGTGAAATAAAAGTCACAGTCAGGTATTATTTACAACTTGTGAGGAAATTCTTCTGTCCACAGCTGGCTACGTGCGCTTTTGCAGCATTTCTGAGGGGACAACTGCGGAAGTTGTGCCGTGGTAAGCTTAAATACATTCTGAATTTTCGTCCAGTGTGAAAGGAAACTAGAACTTTGCATTGAAAGACCTTTATAAATCAACAAGCAGAAAGAATCAAAAACACCTCAGTAGCAACACAGCTCTGCGTACATATTACAAAAATTACCTTTGAGTGATTAATTTTTTAATTACTAAACTTGGAAGAAATACTATATACTCTATTCATTTTATCTTCAAGCTTTGCCAATTTCAAAAGAAAATATTTTAAGTAGCTAGTAGCACATTTCTTGATTTTGATTCTTGTTTGTCTAGATCCCACAAAGTAGTTCTTTCCCAATTTCTAGAAGAGGCAGCTCATGTTCATCATCCTTAAAAATACAGCCAGATGACTATCTGGGAAGAGGAGATTTCCACGAACTTCTCATGGTTTGCTGTTTTAG